TGCAAATGTGTACTAGAAGAACTGGTGGTTTTTAAAAAAGGTATTTCGTATTATTCTTGTCCCTTTGTGCTCACGTGGATTGTTCTTTTATGCGGATTTTTCATTCGTGTTTCAGATGGAGAGCAGTGTCAATCTTAGAGGGGAATGTCATGGGAAGTATGTGGTAATTTCGTGCCTTTTTTATGTTTTCTCAGTTTGTGCAATTTTTTGCAGCCATTAAAATTACTTTTTGTTCAAGTGTTGTATATCATTTTGCAGTTTTTGTAAAGCTCTTTCATATTTAATTATTAGCTATATAAATTTAAAGAGTAATTATCGTCGCTTACACTTAAGAATTATTTCAATGGCAATGAACCCCAAAGAAAAATACAATTTAGAAAAACAAAAGCGGGCGCCATGATTGCATAGTGTTCGTCATACGAGTCGCGACGATACAATGTATTTCCTCGACGCGCGACTGTCGCGCGCCAAGAACAGTAGTAAATTACATGTTGGGGGAGGCACGCTAGCCTCTCGTGTTTGGGGAAACGCTTCGAGTCTCTCTGCTTTCGAATATCGTCTTCGCCAACCAGACGATCTTTTTCCCACAGTTATGGAAACTTAATGTCGACAATTTCCTTCCAGCGTCAACCTATTTTGCGTGGTCGTCGGTGCCACAAGTGGATGGCCTCCTCTGGTGTATTTTACTCGCTTATTGTCGTTCGATCGCGCAACAAGTTGCTCCCAGTTCTCGGGAGCGTGTATACGTTCCAAAGAGGCCACAGTTTGCACGCCACGATCGTACACGTTGAATGAGAGGCATTGAAAGAGTTCTCGCGACTGGCTGGATACGGCATCGCGAACGATTAATCATTTCTGGATCTTTGTCGTGACATGGATGAAACCAAGACATTCGCTACCTAATTTGATGGACGTCGTACGATGTAAATTTTATATATGGTTTACTTAGAACGTTTTTATAAGTAGGACAATAATACAATAATAAGTGGGACTTTAATTCTTTTAGAATTCGAGGTGTCAATAAAATGATTGTTGATGAGGTAACGGTGATCTGATTTTCAAATCTCAGATTAGAGGTTTCATCTTCGAAGTCAATCTAAGCTTAGTATTCGTGGCAGTAGAATGTTAAGGAAGCATCTTGAGTTGCTGGTAGATCCCAAAAGAAAGTCCTCGAGTGCAAAGGGTTGAACGATTCTCGTATATTAAAATTATGTTCCACGTCGAACGAAGACGATTTTAATCGAGTAACCATTCGATCGAGTAGACGTTGCGAGTGAATGTTTGCACATTTTTGATTTCTTTGAACACTAAGGTCTGATTCAGATTAGTAAAAGAGAATAACGTGACTGATGGCAATCGGAGATTAGAATGTTTGTGTTTCAAGACGAGAACTAATCTTGCGTTCTCATAGAAACTAATGAAATTTCTTCGTAGAATTTAACTGCAGATCGATTTACGCCCGACCGCCAGAAGGTTCGTGTATAAAATCAGTCACAGCTGTATCATGCATCTGAACATTCTGCCTAGAACTTACTCACGCAATCTGACAGATCATGCTTTACGCGGCAAATGTGAGTCACGTATGTTCGTATTCCCGAGTATATTCGTTGCCCTGGATGCATTTGAGACACGTACGTTCGTATATCTGAATTCCACGTATATTCGCGTTCTTTTATGGAAACAGCAAAACCCATCCATAATATTTCTTATGTATAGCTATGGTTTATTTGAAAATCTAGAGGCCATCCGCACACAGTCAAACATATTCCAAAATCCCCATCCGAATTCTCACGTTTCGTATGGAAAATTTATACTGATGCAGCAATTGCTGCAAGAGCAATTCAGATTCAGAAAATGCATTCTGCAATTTATGATCCAGATAGTTAAAATTTTCATTCGAATAATACATACCACATAAAACGAAAGTGTAATTATTTATTCACGACGCTTGTTCGATAGAACAGTTAAACGAATCGTTCGATGTGAATTGTTTCATTCGTTTAAATTTCCTTTTGTCATCAGTAACGACGTATTCGTGTGTTAAAGTATGCACAGCGCGTTTAGTACAATGTAGGCGTAATTACGGAGAAATGAGTAAACAAAAGAACAGAGTAAGTTCGTGCAAACATTTCTCCTGCTTAACCTACTTTCAAAGTTGGAAGTCATTTTAGTATTACTCTCCTATGTTTATAGAAAGTATGATGACCAGTTTTTGCAAAAACTCTTTTTATTATTCTTCTTCGTTGAATTCGCGGAGGAAAAACATTTGCGTATTTTCTGAAGCGACCTGTACGGAAACAAGAATCAAAACAAGTACAAGTGTTAATCATTAGAAAGCATTCGGTCGAATTTATCGTACAACTGTGTTACGTGTACATATATTTATTGCTGTAAATGTTTTATCGAGTGTCTCGAGTATAAGTTTCCCACTGTTTATAATGATATTTATTGTTTAATTGAGCATAAAAACGTTAGGTAAGACAACAGCATGCTGCATATCTGGAAGTAAATATTAACTAGAATGGATCGAATTGATCGAGAACACGTTACTTTCGGACACGTTACCGTCGAAAAGCCACGACATGACGGCGTGAAGAGTTTGCCCAGTACAATTATGGTGCACTTTAAACTTCTTTGCATAATTGGTACAATTAATTTTTGGGCGGGTAAAGGTATCGCGTACCATTGCGTATCGTATCTGTAACATTCGCACAAATTAGAGCTGCAAAGAGAATTAACTTTACTTGTTATGTCGTTTCATTACAGAATTTTATTTGTTACAGTAAAAAAAAAATGTGTACTATGTCAAATGTCTAAGTGTAAAAAAGATTGTGTTACATTGATTTTTACTGACAAATAAATTTTCTTTGAATTTTCCAGGGTGAAAGAACTTCATAGGATAAAAGACATCGAATTTTGGTTCCAGTTTGATTGAAAAGTCTTTTCAGACGGGTTTCTACTGGAGATTTGTTATCTAATTTAAATGTTACACAGTGGAGATTTTAATTCAATTTATAGAAATCAGAAGTTAATGCCTGCAAAGATCTTTCAGGCTGCAGAAAGGAAACACTTAACGAGTTGAATTAACCCTTTGCACTCTGAGAATTTCTTTTAATATGAACATACAAATAAGTGCAAAGACTCAAGAGAAGTAAGTACTAAATAAAAAATAGAGCAGAAATACTCAAATAACAGAATATGGAACATAACGTATCATTACACGGCATGTTAACGAAGTTCTTCCAACATTGTAATACGCACGTATTTGTTAAAATGTCGAAACAACGATCGATCAATTCTTGTCCCATATAGTTGCCTATGAATAGGTAGTAAAGCTGATAAATCAAGAAAAGAACTGACTCCGAAATAATCAGAACATTCTTTCTCATTATTACAGCTTGCGCGAACTAAATAAAAATAAATGAACGGAATTATACTTTTGATACCAAATCAATGGTATTGAACAATTTTCACACAAATATAAGTGAAGAAAGGCGCTGGTTATTGTTGTTCTGATATATTCAGATGAAAAAAATAATCAAATACAAGACGTACTCACACAGTATAGAGTCAGGGTGTTCATAATAACACCCAGCAAAAGTAGAATAAAATAAGACATAGCGAAGCATATTTCTAGGGAATGGACATACCTTTCAAAATAAAATATTATTAAACTATTGATGGTAGCATTAAAATTGAAGTTCACGTTTGATAGAATGAATGTTTGCGACAAAATAAAAATAATACACATTTCGAAACCACGAATGGTCAACTCTTCGTTAGAAATTCTAATTCTGGAACTGAATACTTTATAGAGATCCTCAAAAAATATATATATTATTTTTACTGAATTTGGAAGTATGTTATGATAAAATTTCTAAGAAATTCTAAGAAATCAATCGTGCCTGACACATACACTTTTTGATTGTGAAAATACCAACTTGATGATTCTCTGGTGTGTTATCACTGCTTCGATTAATTTGATCAAAATCAAACGTTCATCGTTTTCATTGATCGCTTTCTGTATGCGATAGCTAGGAAGAAATATTAAGTATTCTGTACGCTAATTATATGTGAAATAATACTCATACAATAATGTTGTAACCAAATTATCTTACCTAGTAACCTCGAACATTCCACAACAATGGAATATTAACGTAATCATCAATATTTCGGAGGCTGTTACTGTCACCATACCCATTATGATGGTAGTAGCTAGGTAGAAAGAAATAGTAGAGTAATACTTCTTTATATTAAGAATATGTTCCGTTTTGGTTGCAAACTTGTGGAGACGAGATTCGTAGAATGGTGCCAAGACTTTGCTAATACTACTCGGTGAAAATTCGAATACGATTACAAAAATTGTAGCCGATGTGATGCATACTGCAAGTATGAAAGATAATATTAAGATAAGAACTATTGCAGAAGATCTAAATCAGAGGAGGTGTTTTTATTATATTTATATTCGAATCAAATATGAATGTTTGATTAATGATATTTAAATATTCAAATCACTTCAAATATTGATTTTCATTGTGAAAATATAGAAAATTAATATATTCATAATAATAATAAAATATACAACACGAGTAACATATTCCATTATTACACTATTCACGGATTACAGCTCGTAATGTACATCCTTAAAAACAAATTTGCGAAAAATTCAGAATAGAAGTGGTTTCGAAAAATGTTAAATTTGCTCTTACTTATTAACAACGTCCAGAGAAGTTTACCGTGTTCGGCGTATTTCTTTAATATGTTATACTCATCAACGTTCCGTAAAGTGTTCCAGTCGTATTGAATGCAGCAGAAAAACGTTCTCACCTGTTGCGCACATAGTTGATGAGTGTCGCCAATGTAAAGTGCTTGTTTCATGATAAATCTGACACATTCTGCAGTAACGCTTTAGTGTTTTAACAAACTTCAAATATAATGCTGCCTATAGTAATATTTAAGCTTATATCGAATAATTATTTCCATAGTTTAAAAATTTCCTTTAAATTATAGTAGTTGTACGCGCTGGCAATGGCATAGGAATGCAATTTTAACAATTTAGACTAAAAATTTTTCAAATATCATCTAAAGGTCGTTATAACAAAATTTGTACTGTCGCTACAAAAAGTGCCAGTGGTGACATGGAAGAATTAAAAATCAGAATAAAAGTTTGTATTGGTTGCTTACTCCATCCATGTGAAGGTACATCATTAAATATTTGTCGAAGAACACATACACGCCCGTGAGCCATATTACTGATCTTAAAACCTCATGCAAATCGTTTTCGTTCAAAAATATCTCGATCATCTAAAAGTATCATAATCTTTGACAAGTGCAAAGTAGTTTGTTCTTCTCTAAAAACGAGACTTCTTCAGTATAATGAATGACAAAATTGGACCTTGGAAATGAGTCAAAAATATATTACAGTAATTGATAGAACTCTATGAAGGACAACTTGCACTAAAGAAATAAAAAAAATATGAAAAGTATGTATATAAGTTGATATAAATAGAATATAATAAAATATAAAAATATATGTAAGTCTAAATAACAAAGGCTAAATGAAGTAATAAAAGATTCTTTTGTGAGACTATCGATTAGTTTCATAACGCGATATATTTTTTTACAATTTCATTTAATTTTAATCAATTTTGTTAAATATTATACCAAAGAGAAACATAAGCAAACGTTCGAAACGTTTATTAAAAGAGAAACTATGCTATAACTGGCTATCGATGTTTTATCTATACAAGCATGTTATTAATTTGAATAATCGAAAACAGTGACATTACCTGGAGAACGAAGCACATTAAAAAACAATAGGGGAAATAGAATCTTTTAATCTTTTCTGGCCATCTAGCATTCGTATTCCAGAGTCCCAGATATACGAGGAGTTTATGGCCGAGTTTGCAGTAACGATAGCCAGAGAAGTCCATGCTCGGTCGAAGGTTAAAATACGTCTGGGTCTCAGTTTTCCCAGCCCCCACGGATTCTGATAAAATATTACCTCTTTTCGAATTTTTCAGGAAAATTCACAGCAAACTGTATCGAAATTATACACCAACGGATACCAGTCGCGTATCGATTCGCAAAAGTACCACGAGACGACAAAATGTTTCTTGGAAATATCCGGATACTTTACTATATTACGCCGTTATATGTGGCTGTTTTCCAGCTAGTCACCTTCCTTTATGAATTCATAATCAACGCTGGTGTGATCGCAACAAGTTGCAACGAGGGAAATGTTCGTTACAGTATAGTATCGAGGGTTGCCCAGCGAACACTTCTCTTCAGTTTCACCCTTTTTTTAGAATTCAAGGACTGTAAATATTAATCCTGGTTTCTTTTCACGCAGAATATTCGTGGTCAGTTTTATTTCAGTCGTTGATCAATATAGTTCTCATTGGGAGTGGAAGTATTGTTCGGGGAAGACGACTTGGAGCGCGAAAGTTGTGAGGAATTAAATTCTCGAGAGGATGGAGAAAAGTCGAACAACTATATTATCGTAATGGTAAAAGTATTATTTATCGTAAAGCATACAGACTTGTTGGTAAAATTTTAGAACAATGGACAACGTTATGATGTTGCTTGGATAGTATTATATTTACATGTCCAAGTGCAACTGTCTAATAGAACATTGTTTAATTGAAAGTTAGGAGTTATAGATACCTCGAAACAGTACATGTATGTGAACCAATCGTTACTAGAGTTGCTACTTACGGAGTATCAAAGTGGTTCCTGTCACCCCGTGTAATATACAGAATGTTTAAAGTTTCTAAGTATTTCTAACAATTGCAAAAGTTACCATTTTTTGGGGGATGGTTTTGTGAAGTCCTTTTTGACTTTCGAATTCACTGCTGGATAAAATTTGTTTAGACTGGAAAAAAATCATTTTATGCAAGCCTTGAATGTAGTGTAAGGCTCCAGGATCGCTATTTTATTTTAAAAATCTAAGCAAACATGATTTTTTTAAGTCATTATCACTTTTAAGTCAATAGTATTCAAATAGAAAATTCTTGAACATTGCTATGATTTTCAAAGGCACCTCCCACCCTCAACATGTGTCAGTCGTTGCCATTTTGCGCAAAATTATTTTTTTCAAAAACCTGGCTCGAGAAAACTTAATTTAATACATTATTGAAAATTGAAAATGCTGCATTTTTCAATTTCAGAAAACCAAGCACTGAGACAGAGTAGTGATCGTGAAATACTCTTGTAAACAATAACAAGATATTTTTAAATACAAACATTGCGACGCATGCACTAAGAACCGTTCCTTCGAATATCTTTGAATTTATCACCAGAAAATTTTCCTTTTGTCCCAAAAAAATTCTTAAATATGCACCTTTTTCGTTCTGGGTAAACTTTCTCACTTAAGTTCGTGCTTGATTCTCGATTCGTCGAGGTAAAACAACTATCCAACTGAACCCTCCTAAAAGTACTCTATCCTGCAATGAATTCGATCGTCGTAACCCCACTTCGTAAAACCATTTCCAAAAATTACATCTCAAGACCATCGGGAATACTTGAAACGCCCCTGACCATGAACACGTTTACTTTGACCATCGTCGTTCCCAATTGGTTTCACCGTTCACCAATTTAATTTCGCCGTCGATCTTGATCACACGAACTATCGACAGCATCACACCACCGCGAAAACAATCCCTCTGAACGTCACTCGGTCCCAATCTTCGCGCAGCAACTGGAAACCCGAACACTCTCGCGGAAGATCACTCGAAGCATACGAATTACCCAGAGATAAACCCGACCGCAAGTCAGCCATCGACAAAAGCCTCTTTTTGGACGCGTAGACGAAACTTTGGACGCAGTACATCCTCCTGTGAAGTCGGAAACGCGAGTGCGATGCAATCGATCGCGCAACCCCTTTATATGGTTTCAGCCCCCGCTATAATGGTTGAACGTGTCGTGGGGCCAGACGAAAGTGATCGATAGCTGGTATAATTTGCACGATCGATGGCTCCAGAGTGTCTCCGAGAAAGTGAAAAATATTGAGAGAAATTAAGAGGCATTTTTTTAGTAAGAGGGTAGTGAACCCTCGGAGTTCAGACACCCCTTCTATTCGGCAAGGACGACGCAAGCGCACAATTTCCCTCTGATTGTCCGCCACTGACGTTTTAAATGTTGCATACGAGCCAAAATTGTATACTTTGTGCAGGGTGGCAGGCAATGTCGTTCCCATCATGGGTATTTAATGGTAGTGGCTGGATCGATTTGGGGACGATAGCGCGAGTGGTGGACAGAGTCGTTTGAATTTCGAGGGGAACGAGTCCTGGTTTTAAATGAACATGGGTTCCTTGAACTTGACCCCAAAAAAGCTTAATTAAAACACATTTCAAATTATAGTTTGATAGGGGTGGAAGAATATACGTTTCCTTTGTTATAGGCTCGTTAAGAGTTGTTCTCGGCTACAAGTATGTGGTCATTTTCAAGGATTGCGGAGAAAGAAAAATTAGAGTCAATAAGAAATTAATTTAATTTAATCGTAGAAAGCTTTTGGAAAGATTATTCTACATAGAAAATCTTGGAAATGATAATATAAAGATGCAATCGAAGAGCACTGTTAGATATGAATTTCTGTGATATTACAACCGAAGGGACCAATTAGATGTAGATATTATAAATCTGTATATGTGTACACCACATAAAAATTGTGAAATATTCATTCGTACTTTCCTGTTCATTATTCTACAAAACTGTCCGGCTTTGACAAAAAGAGAATAATTTCTATAAGCTTGTTTACTATAATGAAACATGCAAAAGATGAAGCGCATAATTAATTGTACAAACGGAATGTAATTTTCTTTTAATTACGACGTATTTAGGTACTCGAAAGCGTGCCAGTACTTAATTTACAATCGAGGAGGTTTAAAAGCTTTTTAATGGAAGTAAGAGTAACTAGTATTAAACAGTTATTAAAGTGTAATTTAAATTAAATTTGGACTGCAATCTGTCGAGTTCATTACCTTCGCACGTATGCTACAAAATTAAATTCAAATAAATGACGAACGAATCGTGGACTATCTCAGAAATGTCTGCGCATTTTTAAATTGCGACAAATAATAATTTGAAACATGACAAATGGAAGAATTCTATTATTGTTCTAAAAATAATTGCAACCTCTGAAATACCTAATACACTAATTATTGTTTCAATTATAAAACTGTTTTCTTTTGGAATAAATGAGCAAAATATTAAAATTTTTACTTTTTTCTTACGTTCTGTAAATAAATAACAATGCAAACGGATGCCAGATTTTTTTTTTAAGATACTGAGAGTTTAAAAATAATAACAGCAATGGGATTAAAGCAATGTAATTATTTCTGAGACACCCTGATAGTAACCTCTTGACAGGGTCACTAGTAGAAAGGGTCAGCCGCCTGAGTGTGTCACAGGACATATCGATTCCCTGCGAAAGGGAGGGAAAGTATGTCATAGAAGGAACGCCAGCACGTAAGGGAAAATCGATGCATCGAGTCAGACAACAAACGCATTCAAATCAGTCTTGATCTTTTCAATATACGTAGTTACACAGAAAAATTTGTCTAAACTTGAAATTTTTAAGCTACTACACTAACTATTATTATCGTATTATGTAACTATTATATATTCCTGTAGTATTATTCACAAGTCCATCTTTAATTTCAAACACGATTATTTAAGAAACTTACCTACAAATGTAACCTTATTTATTGCATACTTATTCAACCCCCATATAAAAATATCACACTGTGCAATAGGAAATCACATGGTACTTACTATACAGTGAGTTAGAGGAAGAAGAGGAGGGACTTGTGAGGGAGAGGGTACTTATTTATTTACTTTGATAATTAACTTAATGACTTACTAGTAATACATAAAAATTGTATAAAATGCAATTGACAATGTCTCCAACTTTGAACTAGACATTTTAACATACGAACTACAGTTTATCATACGAATGAAGGTCTATCGTTCAAAGGAAGATGATTAGATCTAACCTCTCGGCTGAGTCGAATATAGCATAGTAAAGTACGAAAACGACGTGCTCAACATCTGAAATGTTAATGCATTTAATGTAGAATTGACAATTACAGATCAGTAGTCGGTAATCAATAACCTGCGAATTTAACATTGAAAAAATTAGAATATGTAAAATTAGGCAAGATTTCATACTTTTATATTTAACGGAGAAGTAAATCACTTGACAAGATTCAGAATGTCAACATTGTACTAAATTCATAAAAGTTGCTACTGTATAAGTAGTACTGATTCAAAAATTTCGCAAACCAAACATTGTTTATAAAATCCGACCCAGATTCACAGATGCCTGCCGACCACTGCTGTAAACACTTTAAAAAGCGCAAAATATTACCGCCGAAAAGCCTTCGAAGCATGGAATAAATAAATTGGAAAGGTTAAACGCAGAATCGATCGAACTACGATGCAGTATCATCAAGACCAGTTTCTGCATACTCGGTGGAGTACGATACCACATGGAATTGTATCTACGTTTTAAAAAGGCGTTACGTTAACATCGTCATACACGCACTTGCACATTCATGAATTACCATGTACACGAGAAGACATTTTAAAGTGCAATCAACTGTTCAAAGTAATCACAACTCACGTTTCGTAAAAGACGCACCGACTATTGTCGATTAGAAGCTGTCCACTAAGATTATTCAAGAACATGATTACTACATGGATGGACACTATTACGGTGGAAAGAACAAGTTCTTGTGGATCACCCATTTCCACGTACCCTAGAAAACACTGATCACACAGAATGAAGTTTTAATGATAAGTAGGCTTAAAGAAACCTAAAAATAATATTAATTTCTTTGAAAGCCACGAAAAGTTTTCTATGTATAGAGTCTCGATGGTTGCTCAAACTGGAGTGTTAAAATATAAAAATCCATGTATCAGAGTTTGTTGACTATAAATTCCAAGAGCCTTTTACTAGTAACAAACACGATAGTCACCGCGTTAAACAAAATTTCACTGCTACTTGGAACGTTTCAAAGTACTCCTATGTATAACAAGATTGTAAAGTGTAAAAATATTCCAAGAGAAAAAAGTTACTGCTAATGATACTTACATGGTATAGGTTTACACCGAACGACATTACAACCAGTAGAATCGCTACTAAATAAGACACCATCATCTTCGTCACTAGTTCGTTGATAATCCTGTGTTTAAGGACATATCGTGATGATACTATTGGTTCACCAGATAATAATATCAGAAGCATACACGAGAGAATAAGACGCATTTAGAAAGTAGAATTTGTGACAAGGGCTGGGCAAGTCGATCGTTTCAGCACACGGCGTGCACGTCAATTAGTGGCGCCACTGTAAAGGACGACACTCAAGTTTAACCCTTTGCACTCGAGGCCCTTTTTTCTGGTATATATCTTAGCAGTCTATTGTCACGAATACTAAGCTCAGATTGACTTCGAAAATGAGATTTCTAATTTGAGATTTGAGAATCAGGTCACCTTTGCCTCAACGACAATCATTTTATTGAAACTTCGAGTTCCAAAGAAATGAAACCTAAAGGAAACCAAGTGGTGACTGAGAGTCACCTCTCGAGTGCAAAGGGTTAAATGTAGTTCGAGAGTCGCCATCTCACTCCTAGAAAACGTATAGAGAAGAGGATTTTCATGGCACGCAGTCATAACTTTCCTCTATCCTCCATCTACCTTTGTTAAAAAAAGATACAGCAACCCCCTACTACAACTTTCTTTCTTTCAGGTCATCTTTATGGTGCCATTAGATTGGGTTTCGCCGTGACGTCACTACTTGACGTGCTAATAAAATAATCGTGGTGCCCAGCCTAGATTAGCATAAAATCAAGCTTTATGGTAGTCTAGTATAGAAATCATTGCTACGAGTTTCAAACGAATTTTACCAACTTAATACATTTTTTGTGTACTGTTACAGCCTCACGAATGCCACTGTAATCCGACACGCCACCCTCTGAAACGTCGACCCATTTGGCTGCGTCTGCAATCGTGCTTCGTACGCGATAACTAGAAGGTAAAGAGATATTACTAAATCTCCGTAACAAGTACGATTTCCAAACACGATCGTGTACCCAGTAATTTGAAACAGTCCGCATATGTAGTACGCGCAAACGGAGAGCGTCGATTCGGTGCACGTTATCACCAACAATCCAATCCCAGTCGTCAGTATGACGTGCAGGGTTACCAAATCGACATACTTGTCCTGATTAACGATGAATCCTAGGAGTTTTAGGTACCTGTTTCGCGATTCTTTCTGGGGTAACAGGATGTTGAACACTATTGGGAAGGATAACAGTGACACAATGCTAACGATTCCTAAGCAACACGCCCCTAGAATTTAGAACACAGATTTGGTATTAATGGACTTGGGACGAATATTATAAGTAGGTGGATGTGTATGAAACGACTGTTTAAGATATTTTTGTAGTTGGAGAGAGCTGATATATTTGAATCTTTGTTTGGGGCTGTTTTCTGACGTTCCTTTGGTAGGACTTAGGGCTAGGAGTAACACTTGCATTCATTCAAGTGGCCACAGGGAATTCTTCGTGAAATATCGAGGAAAAAATGTTTATTGAACGCCTTACGTAAGAAGATGAGGACAGTACGTTTTGAGAGATCGATATGCTCCATTAATATCTTCCTTTCAACCGGTTGTTTCAGCGTATCGTAATCAGTTTGTATGCTATTATAGACAAATTTTATCTACGGGCAACAGAAAAACAATAAAATAAACTTTTATTATGATTTTGTTTCAAATTCTGCGCGTTAAAATCTTCAAACAGAGTGACTAGGTGTCAGACCCCGTGCCTTGATGTTGTAAAACATGGAAAAAAAAAATTGAGTTCGAGAGCTGAAAGTAGTCCATGTCGTGATTGATGACTTACGACTGGAAAACTGTGGATAAAACCAACGTATCGTGAAAAGAACAACAACATAGGGCAAGTGAACGATAACGCTGTCACCACGTCCTTCGAGGTAAAATCAGAGGTAGTTAACAAACCGATCTGGAAAAATATTTCGTTTGTTAGTCCGCAATTAAGGAGCTCAGCAATAAAGAAGTATGATCCTTCAAGAAAATAAGTAACACACAAATTTACAACATCTTTGTTATTATAAACATTAGAGAGAGAATCTAGTGCGAAATTAACGAAGCTTCAAATTAAGAAAAATGTAAAAATGATTGAAAAAATTGAACATTTGCTAACATATGATCAAACGCAAACACCGGGCAGACATTTAAAGATCTTTCATAATAAATTTATATGAGTGTAAATAGTTGTTCATAATAATAGTATTTCTCATAAAATATTCCAAAAATAGGAAGAGCTCAAGGAAGTCTGTATAAATTAATTTCAAGCCTTGCAGAGTCTAAAATCTAGACTCTAGATCTATCTCTGACAAGTTCCGATTAAATTAATATTAAATCAAAACAGGCTTTGCAGTGGGGTAAGGAAATAAAACACAATAAATTTCATCGAAACAAGTATTCCATAAAATTGCATAGCGGCATGGCGGCAGACTCAAACAATTAGCTTCAAGATCAGTCAAGATCCGTCACTAATAGAATTTGTCACGTATTAATAATTCAAAAAACCAATCAAAACAGGTTTGGTACTGTGGAACACAAGTGAAAAACACAATCAATTCCTTTTGCATAAGTGTTTCATAAAACACACACAACGAAGTACAAAAATACAGACATGTTATCACCTGGACTATGATACAACTGAATATAATGAGAGCGAAAGTTATCCTCTGAGCTTTCACGAAGATCGAATTGTCGAAGGGCCATAGCCCTGTGATGCACAGCGTGGAATAGTAGGTGCTGTACTGTGTTTGGAACTGATCCATTTCGTCGTCCGAAGCCGAGGAACGTCTGAGCGCAAAACCCGAGGCATCGTTCGACTACACCTCGGCATCATATTTTATTCACGTTGTCGCCTTTTCGCCTTGAATTTCCGATGCCACGCTTGTACCCAACACTGGAATATTATTCCCTCAAATTACAGACTTCCGCTGGAAACCGATTGATTTGATTACCGTTGCCGTGAAAAGTTTAGGGAATGGAATAGGACATTCAAGAAAATCAAGAGACCATAAATGTTTTCATTGTCCGCCCATTTTTCAACAAGGGGGTGTAGAATTTTTATCGCCACCGTTCGCTTTCAGAATCGACGTGGACACTACGTGGAGCAGGCGTCACCGCGGACACACCTTGGCTTCCTTTGAGGAGTAAAGATAGACATTCCTTCTTGGAAATGCAGGTACGTAGAAATTTAAATAAGAGTTAGATTTACACGGTTTAAACAATTTTATTTACAGACCAAACCTAACTATTAGTAATTATTCACCCGAATAGTGAATCAACACATACGTTGTTACATGTTAGTAAATAATAATTCGAACAAGGGATGAATATTTATTTGTTCATGTCGGTTATTTGATTATAATAATATACACTGCCGTCGAATAAAAGGAAAATTGGGAATTTATGTAATATTCAATTCCTTTCATTAGCAAAGAACAGCAATTATAAATACCTGTGAGGAGGAATTATTTTGGTATTTAGCTGTAGGCTCGTCTATAAGTTGAGTGACTTACCTGAAATAAAAAGAAAAAGTCAAGTTAATGGCAAAGAAACACAACTTTGGTTTTACTTAATTCATATATAATTATTTAACCCCTTAAGCTACAACCACGTGTGAGCCTAGTGGTCGGATAGTTGGGACAAAACTAATAATCACGAGCCTGGCCCGTGGCGTATTGTTAGGGCCAAATGTAAACTTCAAATTTTAGTCCCAAGATGTAGGAACTTAAATCGTAGCTTAAGGGGTCACGTTAATGTTATAAATAGATATTTCACATATAAGAATTAATATTTTTTGTACAACATGTAATCAACCATCCTTTTTTAAAGAATAGCGGATAGTTCAATAGGTGTGATTAGTGATTAAAGCATCGGGCGTTAAAAGATAGGTAAATTCAATCTTACTTAAAAAAAAATATAGAAAAGGTCAAAAGATGGTTGATAAATAACTGTCTTAGAGCACTGCAACGCTACTACGACGAATTATTGCATCGATGGAACGTAAATGATGTTTACGTAGGAGTGCAAAGTTTCTGAGTTGTTTGCAGTATCAATAGCAAAAATTTCTCAACTTCAAGTGGTAATGCATACCATGGCGTGCCCCACCTGAATTATTAACACATTTTTAAAGAAATGTACTTCTTCTGCACATCCTCTATGATAACATATCACATACTCCACGTACACTTCATGAAACGTGTTTGGAGAGTGGTCGACGTATATCTGCCAAACAAAGTTTTTCTCATTAGGGTAAGGTTAACGAAGTAAAATGAAATGGCCGTTGAACTGTTCTGGAGCCGTATCAGTTGAAAATCCATTTTCAAATGTTTTCAAGTTACTATATATTAATATTTAAGAGCAATTGCTGCTGAAGGCACAGATACGTTACCTGGAGATGAGTCTTCGTCAAGATATTCCATATTAAATCAAATGAATTCTATAATCGTGGATGACTCTGAGTGCCCCTACTCTATGAAAACTAACGCCACGACTGTTGTTCCTAACCATTAGTCTGAACGGAATATAATACAGTAAAATATGAAAACGATGATCTCATCATCTGAAATAAAAATGCTTCTACTGTAAAACTGAAGACTACACCCTGGAGATGGCAAATAGGATTTTATCAACATGACAAGATATAACAGAACGTACAGTGTGTTAATAAAAATGTAGGTTCTATTTTCAGGATCAATTCCTCGAATACAAATAAATCGAAAAGTTGTTTACCATTTTTCATTTTGGAGCATTGTTACTTAGATATAAGTAATTAAAGTTTACCAATAGAAATCCCAGTGCGAGCCATTTTGTATTACAGTCAGCTGATCGTTCGACTGCGCGCGCACTATACGTCTAGAAACAAAAAAGTTTTAACTGCTTATATCTCGATAACGAAGCACCGGATCGCAAAATAGAAAATAACTTTTCGATTCGTATTGCTAGGGGATATCTATTTTGAGAAGAGTCCTTACATTTTTAGCATCAACCTGTGAACAAATGGTTCAAAATGAAACTGTATCAATCAAAAGTGAAAATATCGGGCAGACTTTGTTTAACGAATCACCTATTTGCCATCGCTGCTGTAAACAGTTCTACACGATTAAGGACAAAAAAATTACCGTCGAAAAGCCTTCATAGGATGGAACGAACAAA